TCACCGCCATGTGGTTGATCTTGTTATTTTTTCCGTCTAGATTTGTTGTATGTGGTGGGTTTTTAGTTTTCGGACCAGATTTGTTGTGTGGATGGTGATGGTATAGTTGGTGATGTGGTGGTGGTGCTTGAGGTTGTAGTAGATTTAGGGTTTTAGGTATTGGTGAGGGTGGTGTGATAGTGGCGATGCTACTAGTCACAAGTTAATTTACACGGGTTAACGATATTAGGTCACGGGACATATGTCATATCATATAGTCATAAATAAGGTCCCATTTGGTACACATTATTTTTTTCATTCTCATTTTTCTATCATTTTCAACTAGACATTTTTCAATAAAATAATATTTTACATCACATCAATAACTTTTCCTTCATTTTTAACCACACATTCTCCATTAATCTACTATTCAATAATATATTCTTTCAAAAGAATGTGTCCCAAACACACTCTAAGTGTAAACGGGTTACAGATCAATTTTAACTGGTGTGATCTATCACAAATCAAACGTCACCAGTCAAAGATCCGACAAGCACCACAAAATTTTGGAAATATCTCACCATCACCACCATATGTACAACACCAACCACCACAATAATAATAATAATAATAATAATAATAATCACCCCAAAATTCCGGCATCATCTCCAGAGTTGTCGTTGGAGAGTCGCCGCCTGAGGGAAGAGAGAGATAAGAGAAGGCAGGGAATTGTCTTTACGGATAAGGTAGCGTAGGGTAGGGTATGATAGGATGGGGTGGAATGTATATTAATTGAATCTAACAATTGTTTGAGTCATATTATTTTGGAAGTATGTATTTTGAAATAGTAGATTGATGGAGAATGTGTGGTTGAAAAAAAAGAAAAAGTTATTGATGTGATGTAAATTATCATTTTATTGAAAAATGTGTGATTGAAAATGACTAGAAAAATGAGAATAAAAATTTTAATATGGTTCCAACAGAGGCTATATAATAAATGAAATTTATCGTCTGATTTTTGAAATATGGAACCTTATTTCTTCGAAATGAAATGGTGGGTTCTTAAGATCTTATATATGTAATGTTCCCTAAAAGTTTTGCATTAGTCAACTTCTATGCTATAGAATTAAAAATGCGCAGATAACGTTTTACCCTATTCTTGACCCACCTATTATAGATTGCAAATCTTGCCCTTGTTTGAGCCACATTTTATCAAAAATACATTTTTTCAAAATTCATTTTCAACCATACATTTTCCAATAAAATAATATTACATGTGAATAGAAATTTTTTTCTTCATTTTTAACTACACATTCTCCAAAAGTGACCATTCAAAATTGTATTTTTTTTTTCTCTCAAAATAGAGTTCAAACAAGGGCCTTGTGATATTCTAGTGCATCCAACGTGGGAAGTCGGGGAACAATGAAAAGAACTCTCCAAATATTTCAATTAACAATATTATACTATTACCTAATATTATTTATTATCTGAAAATTATGTATTAAGTATAATATAAGTTTCAAAATGAAAAAAATTATGTGATAATATATAAAATATATTATATTATTATAAGAAATCAGATCAAACTGACCTATATCCATATTTATTTCATTTAATTAATGGATTATCATATTCGGATCTTAATTGTGTTATCAGACTGAAATCCTAAATTCATCTCCCATTAATTACATCGAATTCTGATAAAAATCCAATTCATTGACAATCTGGGCGAATCCACTATATTCTTAATGTAATGATTGTATTTAATAAATAAGTCACATATTTCAGCTCTATTTCTTAAACTACTAAATCATATTTAAATTGATTGGCCATTGACATGTAAAAAATTATGATAAATTAAAATATGAGTAGAAATTTATAAACGTTTCTTGAGATAAGCAAAATAAAGTGTCAACATAGATAACATTATTAGAGTGCATAAAAATCTGACTATCTAAATTTAAAGACTATAATTCATAAAATATTCTTTATAAATAAATTGTCTCTTGAAAATGTTCTAACACCAATAGTTTTAAATAGTAAATAGCATTACTCTTCAATAAACTGAATTTTAGTTATAAAATTTATTACATTTTAAAAAATTAGGATCTTCGAAGTAAATCAGACAATTCATCAAGATTCTCAACATGTATTGAGAGTCCATCCCACCTAAAATGATGATAATTCAGAGCATTAATACATTTTTGCACACAAATTTTTTAGAAAAATGATCTTATCAATCGTAAAAGGGTATGATTCATAACATAATTTCTCTTTCTCTCTCTCTATATATAAAAGTTGAAAGGAAGATGAATGCAAGAAGAAAAAGAAAACGATTTGGAGTTCGATCTGTTGTCTCGTTCTCTTTGAAGCTCATATCAAGAATAGACGAGACAATTTAGAATTAGAATGTTGGAGATACATTTTGGCTAATTATATTCATATTTATTTTTTCTAAAAATTTTACAAAATGCACCTTCAATATATGGTATATTTACAATTTACACACCCTTAAAAAATTGTGCTTTTTATATTTCATTTTACATTATCGTAACAAAAAACTTTTGCTAAATGATTTATATATTTATCATTACAAATAGTTAAATAGACCAAAACACTTACTCGAAAATAAAAAATCACACCTTCTATATACTTTCTGTTTGGCCTCTACTAAAATTTGTTTTTATTGGAAAAAAAAAGTATTTCGGAATAGTGAATTTTGGAAGAATATATGGTTAAAAAATAATGAAATATTTTGTGTTTTACGTGTAATATTATTTTATTGAAAAATGTGATATTAAAAAGATGAGAGAGATACATTTTGGACAAAATGGAACCCCAAACACGGGGCATAACGTTATGCAGGGCTTTAAATACTAATTTTGAAATGATTTTTCTCCTACGGTTCAATAATTATGTCCTTTCATCTAAAAAATTAAGGGGATTTATTTAATCCCTATTTCTAAAATTCATTTTTTATCATACATACATTCTTTTAATAAAATAATTATGAACGAAAATTATTTTTTTTCTTATTTTTAACTACACATTCTTCAAAAAATACCATTACAAAATTTATTTATAAAAAGTTTAGATTTATTCACTGAAGCTTTTTAAGACTCGAGATATTTATAAAAAGATTTTTCAAAATCATTTTTGGCTAAAACACATTTTTTCATAATTTTTCCATACTTTTTAAACATATATTTATATATATTAAAAAAATTCACTTTTCACAAAATCACCTCTCAAAATATCAACTCCACGCAGGACCATAATGTTTTTATCATTTTTGTATATTCTTCTCTTCTGAAAAGCTTTCTTGCAATAAATAAATAAATCATCTGCAATATACAGAATGCATATAAATCAAAAATTATATATAATACCCAACTAAAGAGCATCCATAACAAACACTCTATTTTTAAATAGTATATTCTACAATTTAAAGTGCATCGAAAAATTTAAAGAGTAAAAATTTTTAAGTACTCCGACAGATTCTTTATATTTAACACTTAATTTTATTGCTCCCAAAAAATATTTATTGTTTTTCCCTAACTCTTATTTTCACTAGTTTTCTCCAAATTATTTTATTATTTTCCTCCATTGAAAATTAAAATATTCTTGAATGCATTTAATTATAAAGAACGAATTTGACTCCTAGAACATAATTTTTAAGTGTTGAGCCTTAAAAATATAGAACATTTTATGTTTAAAGAGTCTCTTGAAAGTACTATAAGCCCAAAATGATCAGCTTGCAACATCACAAAACACAAGAATTAGCAGCTAAAAGAAACAAATACTCCACAATTATGCATCCATTCAATAATCTACGTGCTTCAAATATACACTTCTCGTGTTACAAATAGAAAATCACCTTACCTTGAGTATTGAAAAAAATTGAAACGGGTTTATTAAATCGTCACCATAATCTCTTCATCCATCTACAACGAGAAAGGGATGTTTGGTATAAAGTATTGGATTGGACTAAAGCTTAGAATAAACAGGATTGTAACTTATTTATTCTTTTTCAATTCTGTACAATACTCTGTTATCTACCCTACCAAACATGCCATAAATGCATAGAATATCAATGAATTGCATTATTCTTGATGGATAATTGGTGAGGAGTTCAATTCAGTGGTACTGTAAAATGAGTCATCCTGACCACCATAATAGTTATCTTCCTTCTCGTCATCCCACTTCACGACTTCCTTTACGTACTTAAATGCCTCATCGACTGTAGCTCTGTCTCTCGCCCGAGATTGCCAAACAAAGAGCTTTTGACCAGTGAGAGAAGCAAAGAGGTCCTTAAACTTCATAGCTATATAGAAATAAGCTTGGTGTGCCAAGGATTGGTTGTTGTGGTGGGTTCGGACGGGACTGAAATCTGTGAACCATTCACAAGTACTCAAAGGCACGCTGTTAATTTTCTCCTCAAAAAGATCGTACTTGTTCAAAATCAACACAAAAGGGGTATCTTTGAAACAAGGGTGCCTGATCATTGTTTCAAAGAGTTCTCTACTTTGAATCATCTTATTTTGAAGTAGGACTCCGCTACCAGTATTTTCCGGAGAAAGCCACACCTCATCATAATCACTCAGGGCAATACAGAAGACTACCGCACGAACATCTTCGAACATCTCCAACCACTTGCATCCTTCAGTCATTCCTTTGGCATTTACTCGAATAAGTTGATACCTGATAGTCAAATATTAAGGAACAACTGAAAAAATAAGCGACAAGAAAAATTAAAAGAAATGCAGTAACTAGCAGAATTCTTGTCAGAATTTTCTTGGATGCAGATTATAACTATTTACCGTAACAATCCAAATCTTGTCTCCATTCTTAAAACTTGATGAAGTTTCAAACTGTATCTCTGAAGTATGTTACCAAGTTTTTTTGTCTTACTTCTATTTTTTGATACAGTTCCCATCCTTCCGAATTAGTGTGCATCTTGTTGAGCTATTCCTTATCTAGAAGATTCTAGTTTCCCTGTTTGTACTATTGCCATTTGCTGAACATATATTGGGAAGGCTTAAATAGTTCTTGGTGGAACTGAGGAGGAATGGCTACTTGAGTCCTAACACAAATATACTCTAGATTTACTAAAGGAAATAAAGATGCTAGGGTGTAAACCAATGGATAATCCTATTGAGCCAAACCAGGAGTTGGAAATTGTTATGAAGAACCCGAAGCTGACTGAGAGAGGTACCAAAGTCAACCACGTGAATTCAGTCTATCCTAGGCAGGCTGGGAATGAAAATATTCCAGCACAAGCTTGAGGGGGGGATGTCAAACTTCGTTCTTACCTGGGAGATTTCGGTTTTCTACTATGATTATTCTCTAATTGTAATATTTCTGTTAAATGTGCTGACAGATTTGAAGGCTATAATTTTCCTAGATGGTGGTTAACACATTTGGTAATTTCCTAAAATAGGTTCACATAGCTGTATACGTATCCCCCCTGTAATCTCATTGCAAGCATACTTCAAGCCAATCAAGCTGATCTCGGATAATTAAGGTTACTATATAATTTCGTTTTTCATTAAGACTTCGTTAGGGAAATATTCTTAATCCATACCATGATAATGTCTTCTAATTATCTCCTTTAGTGCAGAACAAGAATTCTTCCCTTGCCTCTGTTTCATTAAATGACATCATGACCTTCTTGAATCGGATTTCTTTATCTCCACTTACCACGTAAAACTAACACAGAACTCTCTTCTCATTCATCCTACAGGTTCTACTTTGTTTATTTCATATATGTTTCTCTCAATTATAAGTTCTCTTTATGAATATATATATTTTTGCATTTCCCCCAAATTCGTTTTATACGAGCATTGGTTGACCAACTATTTGCATAGACCCACACACTTTCCCATTCAGAACATATGCATCTACGGCTGACAAACGTACTCCAGCTGGCCTCACACTAATTTAGGCCTCCTATGGTAAATATAAGTGCACTCAACTGCCATTTTGATCAGTTAGCAATGTCAATTTCTTGTTTTAAATTGTAATTAGATACTTGCATTCAAACCACTCTCCTTGTTGTGGGTTACTACTAACAGTAACAAGGTTCACATAAAAATTCATGAAATTCATTTGATTTAACCCCAATAATTTAACCAGTTTCATCTTCAGTAATCTAAAGCAAGAATTTAGCACTCTATCAAACCTTACTTATACAAGCCCATTGTTCTTTCTACAACAATTTGTAAAATGCATTGAAATCCTATTGGACAATCATCATTATAAGGTGCTCTTTCTGTGCTAGATCAATCCTAATGAAAAATTTCGCAGTCTTTTTGAGAACTTCAGTCACACAGAAAAATTTAAAAGCAAATGTGAATCCAACTGGTAAAGTTGCCAGATATTATTCACTATTCAGTAACAGAGTCTGAGACTGCTCCACACATGAGAAGCTTGTGGATCAATAATCAAGGTCATTGATCATAATGATAATACTGGGGAACGTAGAAGACAACATTTAAAAAATAAGTTTCTCAACCTCTAACGCCAAGTTTTAAATGAAGTGGTTCAATATTGAAAACAATTACCTGGACAATGATGGGGGAGCAGATTCCATATTTTGTGAGTATGTCTCAGACATTGGGCTATGATAATCCAGGGAGAACTCCATAATAGCCAAACCATTCCCTTGTGTGACCCCTTCGCAGTATAATATGTCCCGATCAGATGGCTCATATTCATTACTTGATATCTCAACCGCCTGAGGGGCAAATATAGTTTCACTAGACATGCAAGGAAATAGAAGCAATATAAACTTCAACGGAGGGATCTCAATAAAATATCACTCCCTATTGAAGACTTGGAATGTGGTACTCCCATCATCATGTGCTAAATCATGACATTAAATAATGTCCCAGTCCTGCATCTAATTAAGTAGAGAGCGTAATGTTTCCTAGCACAATCTATGAAGTCGACTATGGATTCAGTCCTACATTTAACTGTTAATGAGCATCCTCCAAATCAATCAATGTTCCCAAGAACAAAGTGCCTCCTGCCTAATATAGCATTCAGCTCCTATATTTTCACCATAAAAAAGATGTACCAAGTGTCCAAATCATATATTTCGGTGCGATACGTAGAATTTGATGCATGGAAAGTGACGTGTCATATATCTTATATCGAACAGCTTTAGTATTGCAACAATTTTGTCAGCTGAAACTATCAAGGATAACTAGGCAACTGCTGGATGCCCAAGGGGATGAACATGGCCTGAATGCCTAAGCAGTTTTCAAATTTTAAAATTTTAGATTCATTGATGAACGACTAGGCTATGCTCACCTATGTCAGAGTTTCTATCCCAAGCCTTAAATCTTTTTCTTCTCAATCATAGATAAGCTTACAAGAGATATCCAAGATAAGGTCCTCTGGTGTAAGTTTTAAGTCGATGACGTAGTTAAGTTGAGAACGGTAAAAGAGGGGATAAATTATAGGTTAGGAATTCGAAGTACCATTGGAATCTAAATGTTTTAGATCAAGTAAAACTAGGATGGAATGCACAGAATGCCCTTTCAACAATAGTAGGAATGAGGATGAATGTAGACTTACAATACAGGATCTTCTTGTCCTAAAGTGCGATCGTTTTAAGTATTTAAGTTCGATTATTAAAAAGGAAAAAAAAATCAATAGGATGCAATGTATATGATTAGAGTAAGTTTGCTGAATATATAATTTCATCATGGATTTTGTGCATTTTGAATGCACCTACCGAATTAAAAGTTACCTTCTAAAGAACAGTTGTTGGATTAGTTAAGCTGTACAATATGGAGTGTTGAGCTATTGAAGAACAAAATATGCAAAACAAGACAAAGAAGACAAAAGAATACCCTGCTCAAGAAGTATTCTGCGACATCTGGTAGGAAGTGGAGCTCATCTTTTCTCCTATAGGTCTCCTGTATAGCAGGATCTCTCCACACTTCTTCAACGAGCGGAGCATATTCGCGTGTAGCAGCAGGGAAGAATGCATCCAAATCTCCAGTGGCAATGATATCCAGCAGCCAGTCAGAAAAATTCTTCAACCTCGGATTGAGGAAATAGACACATTGAGTACTTCCGTTTGCTCGACCTGGGTAGAATTCAAACTCAATCATCAGACCAGGAAAAGGGTAAATAAATAAACATCCCCCTTGTAACATCAATATTCTCTGGTAAGAAAGTAGAACCTGCCTCTTTCTCTTGCTGAATATAAATCTACTTTAGGTTCTACTAGACATGTAGACTAGAAAGAAACAAATAATTAATTGGAAGACTTTCACTTGAGGAAGGCCTATCGGAAAAGAGTTTAATGTTTTGGTTTTTCTCTTGGACCTCTTCCTACGGATAAGGAAATATGTTATAGCACTTTGTATGAGACCACGGTCAGATACTAGAAATCATTAAACCAATGCAACGTAGTCAGTCAAATATTGATGATAAGGAAAATCGCAGCAAAGTACATCTAAACGAAAAATGATATGGAGTGGTGTATCACCAAAACATGATTGACATGCCTAGAGATGTGGCAAAAAGTTTGGTTTATAACTATTTGGGGTCCATCTCAATGTAGTCATTCCCAAAATAATTTCAGATAGCGCATTAGTTGATTCCATGTATATACTAATTAAACAATAAAAAAATTACCAAGTTGATTGATATGAGATCTCATATTTTCCCCTTGTTTTCAAAAATGAGAACTGAGTAAAAATTCTTGTCACTTCTCAGATATACCTGTTTCACAGATTTTTTCATGAGAATCTTCTTCTTTTGTCTTTGACAAGGCCTCCTCCTCAAAGCGTTCCCGCCCATCAAGTAGAATACTGAGATACCTGTATATATTGCTCTGTATCATGAGCTTAATATCCTGCAATTCTTCAGTAGTAAACTTGTTGCCATACAAAATTTTGGCCTGTTCAATTTGGCACACAGGAGGAAAAGCTGATTAGATACAACAGAGAGAAATGATTGTCCTAATTGCAGCATTTAAGGAAAATCCACTTGATTAAATGTACTAACTTTTTAGTAGTATCTAAAGTAATCATCCTAAATCACAGAAATGCTATGGTAGGAGGAGGTTTGGAAAAAAAGTAATATTGGGATAAAAAAATAAAAAAGCTTTTTATCTGTGTGTGTAACCAACAAAAGATCTGCAGCAATTGAAGAGTTCAAGTGCTGACCTTGCAATTCCATTGATATATTATCAAAGAAGGCGTGGGATTTATCTAGGAACCAACTTGAACTATGGAAAACGGAAGGCAAAGTTTTTATAAATATTCTGAAAGTCAAATAATTAATATTGATAAAGAAGGGAAAAGCAGAAAGTAAGATCTTAGATATATATAAAGGTTCTTATGAAAAATACGGCATTTTTTAAGACAAACACGCCAAGTGAGAAAACGGCATTTTGAATCTTTAGATCTTATAAATAATCTCCGATTGTCCTGGAATGAAATTAGCTTTTCAAAAGTCTTCTTGTATTGAAACTTTGCAATATATATGTTGAAGCTTTCCCCAATATAAACCAGCTATAATATTTATGTCAAAAAATATCTCCCAAGAATCTTAACATGGTTACCTGTTTGAAAATAGTGCTGGTCCCAGAACCTTGTAGTCCTAGCAGAAGAAGCTTCTGAATTTTTTTCTGCTCTAGATAATTAGGTACAGTAGAATAATTGCTAGTCTCGTCCCTCTGTCCATGAGGCTGACCTTGGGGTACAGGCAGAGAGAACAAGGAGCAGACAAAACGCGTAGATGCCTAGAACAGCCATATTTGTGATGTTAGGTAAAAGGTTCACTAGATAAAGTACTTTCAGCAGGCATATATAATGCATTTTCCTGAAACATACCTTTTCCCATATATTTCCTCTGATATTGTTTTGTCCTTCCTCCTCATATCGACCATCATCATATACCCAGAAATGGGTATCACGAGGACATTGCACCTTCGCGAGCTGCAAAAGGTACAAAATTATGTGTGATAGGCCAAATATCCTGAAACCAGAAATTTTGACAAAGCATAGGTTTCCTTTTAAAAGTTGAATCATAAGGCCAAAGACACAGAATTCAACCAATAAAAATGGCAGCAAAATTCGCTTGGATACATATTGTGTCTTGTGGTTGTATCTTATAAGGTCAACCTTGTTAAGAGTGGCCCAAGACTTCATATGTTGACCATTACTATCATCTTTAATGGTTATGGAATTTTACCCTTAACATGTCCGATGCCTTCGCAAGATGTTGACTCATTTGAGAAACAACAATCTTGTAATCCAATGGCTTGTTTGAGCATTACGGGCTTTGATACCATATTAAGTCTTGGATTCCATCTCAAAAGGTCAACCTTGTTAAAAGGAATAATCCAAGCCCTTATATCATATGTTGATCACTGGTATCATCTTTAATTGATGACGAATTTTACCCTCAACAGTGCATATCTTAAATCTTGATGCAGAAACCCAAATGAACAAGAACTATATATTTGTGTTCTTGAAATTTCCCCCTTTCCATTTTTAAGTCTTCTAGTTGTTTTTCTTTTTCATATCTTATTTATACATGTTCCCATAACACAAGAAATGGGCACTTGGAATCAAGAAAAAAAGAAGAAGAAAAGAATAGAAACAAAGGTGTTTTCTAACATAAATGCCAAACCTGGAAATGTTATTCACTATCTAATGAGATTAGCTCATGAGACCATCACATGACATTCTCAGAATAAACAATAAAAGGTAAAGGATAAATTCAAGTTTTTAGCCATCTTAGATTGCGATAGCAATGACTTAACACATATTAAGCCAGCATACAGCTTCATCAATATTCCAAAATTCTTTTCAAATATTCTTATACTAATCATTACCATTTTCTTTTTTTTTTGAAATTCCAAATTACTTTTTGTGGACAATAAAACCAAATATGAGGAAACTACAATCTTTAATTATCAGTTCACAATATTGAGGACACTGAATATACTCTAAGATGACATTGACAGTTGTGTGCAGCATGTCAAAAATTCTACATGTGTATAATAACATATATAGATAACTTCTGTAACTCAAACAGCGCAAGTAACAGATAAATCTAAACCAAATTTAAAGTGACGTGCTCCAGTGCCTGATCAACACACCATTCTAGATTTCTTTGTTACCTGTCCCATGCATTTTGCACTTGCCCTAATCAGTTTCTCTGTGATTAATATCTTTATAAATTAAAAAATCAACTCCCAGCTCAGAAGGGAAAATCAATTAAAGAGCTCAAGTGGAGCCATCTGTGTCAGCTTTCATAATTGCTCTTACAGTTGTTCGTGGAAACTGAAAAACTGACTGTATCAAACCAAACCAATCTGAACCAGAAAAAAAGATATCCATATGAATCTGAAACAATTCCTTTCCTACTTTTCCACCACTACTTTCTTTTCCTTCTTGACCTTAAGTACTACTACTATAGGGCAAATGAAGAGCCACAAAATGCAGCGAAGCAAGTATGATGCACAATATAATTTCACTGACAAAATTGACATCTAGTTTAAAAATTATGACCAAGGAATTCAGAACATAAAAAGGAAAATTCACAAGATATCATGTACACGAACGAGGTACTAAGTTCATTTTACTCTATTGGGGTTTATGGACAAGGTGGGAACACCCAGGAACTTATTTCAGAAGCCTTTTTATCCTTCCCCCTTGTATGGGGTTATAAGAAATTACACGTCGTCAAGTTTCTCCTCGAGTCTATTTATAAGGATTACTTGAAGATTCACTTTATTTCTCTCTGTATGTCCCCTCCTAATCAGCATAGTTTTGAAGTTAAATAACGAGTACTAAATTGACTTTTGTGGTCAATATCCAGCTCACATATGGTACCATAAACATCATATAGAAAATGATTTTGTAATGAAAATTAAGGAAAAAGCCAGTAACTTAAACAAGAGTTTGTTCAGCTACTTGTATATGCATTTTTAGTACAGTGCTATAGTGGACCACATATATGCTCCACAGGACCCTAAAAATATGGGTGAAAATTCAAGGAGAATCCAGTGAAATAATGAAAAAGAATCAGATTCCATAGCAGAACCCACAGGGAGCCACGCCGCTTTCCTAACATAGGTCTACCTCATGTTTGACTAAGCAGACTACCGAACCTTATGGTTTGACTTTTACTTCTACAAATCCAACATTAGAATGGCAACTTCTGATTTCATTAGACATAGCATTCCCTTGAAGTCCATGTCAGTCCTTCATGGATATCTTCGTCCAGTAAAAGATCAAACAAACTATTCCTCACTGGATTATGCAAGATGTATCAATTTATCACGTACAAACATCGTATTACTGAGGGCTCATCAATATCATTTAACCCACAGTACACAAAGCTAAGTATTCACAACATCTAATTTGTAGTATTCAACTGAAGAACCTAATCGCAAATCCAAGATAAGAAGTCTTGATTACTCCTATAATTAGTAAGTTCATAAACAACACAAGAAATGCATAAAACCTCATTTGAACAAACTTTCTTCTCCAGTCTTACTTATTTTCATAAAAATATCAAACAAAAAAGAATAGTAATGGATTTGTAAAAGGAATAAAAACCAGAATGTGGTATTATATCACTAGCAACCTATTTTTCTACGTTTCAGAAATAAAATATTAGTATGAACTTGCATGAGTACACATATGCCTACATATGTTTTCTGAAGATTCATACACTTCAATTGTAGTCATGCAACGAAAGACCAACCTTCAGCACTCTCAGTTCAAGTTTTGTAATTTGTCGACCATTCATGTAAACCTCAGTGTTCCCGTTGCTTGCATGTGGACTAAGTTTCCCTGTGAAGTTTATGTTCGAACTTATAATTCTATCTGGTTTTTCTCCCTCCTGTCAGATGGAATTGTAAAAACCGTATTAGCATTTCTTCTTTTCCCAGGAAACAAAAAACAGAAGACAGCTGCAGATATAAATGAATTACCTTTCCCCAGAGACCTGATTCCTTGTCATACCAATATCTTCCTGGCTTCAATTTCCAAGGAGGTAAAGGGCATCCAAAAAGTTCTGCCATCTCTTCTTGTTTTAAGGGGTATCCATTAACGATCAGCTGCTCTGGTCGAAGCTGATTAGCAGAACATTCTTTCTCTGATTTCATTATATTTTTTACCTCCAAAGGACTAAGTAATCGTGACAATACCCTTGAATGTTTACCCAATTTGAATCGTTTCAACTCGTCAATCGGCTCACCAATGCACGTCACACATTTGCGCCCTTCTGGCATCGAACCCATTACTCTAAGCACACAGCTGCTGCAATACTTTGCATCACAAGCTAAGCATGACTCCTTGGTCTCCCACTTTCCCTTTCCACACCTATAACACACTCTTGTTTTCTTCCTCTTCTTCTTTTCTTTGGTCATAGAAATAAACTCCGGAAACACTTGTTGTTCTACATCTACCACTCTCCTTTCTGATCTATTAACAGTATTAAAAGTGACCAATGTTGCTCTTCTTCCTCTATTGGCAGGCTCTTTTGAAGAGTTAATATCAGGATTGTGCACCGACCCTGGGGAAGCTGAAGGTGAAGGGGAAGAAAAATCAGCATTTTGTAAGACAGAAACCTCAGATACAGAACTTCCTGACATCCTAGGACTTTGATTAGGTGGACTTGTGACACCTGCAATACGAGAAAGCGGCAAAGAAATTGGTTCCATTACAGGGGCCATATCACGAGACAATGATATCGTAGATTCTGAAACAGGTTCAGCAGTTGGAATAGCATCTGAATTCACATCAAGGGGTTTTACACTGGGAAGCTCATATGAAATTGGAGGGCCATTATATTCCATGGCTATGGAGTAATCCAATTTATCGTCATCGGGAATGGAAGCCCCCGGGGGAAGCATCTTCCGCACCATATCCCTCCAATCTTCTCCCCCGTTTTTCTCCATTTTCCGTCACACCAAATCAGTCTCCTTCAGTTTCAATCAAAGCTCCAATCTTTCTGTAACCTTGATATTTAAAAATTTCAAAACAATCAACTTTCACAAGAACCAAACAGAAACCGAGGCAACTCGTCAACCGAGTTAAATTTCAATCATAGACACAGCACACAATGAACGAAATTCAATGTTGAACAATATTCCTTTTCCAGCAGATCCAAGAGATGACCTGCAACCAAAGTCCAATTTCACAAACAGTTTTCGAATTTGAAAGTATTTAAATACAAGAAATGACCAAAGATTAAAATCTCAGAAAATTCAACAGTCCAAGCACAGATCTTTCCATCTAAAAAAAAACTCACGCACACATTAATAAATAAACCCGTAATCTTTGCTGATTTTTATAATCAAAGTTGTTAACTTGAAAAGGAAATCTTCAAGGTTGAAAATTTAGAGTCAAACAAATCATCTATGAACTTTCAAACCAACTAATCATAACACCACCCCCCCCCCCCCACCCCATCTACACATATGAACTTATGAAACAATTGTTTTATAACTTTTTAATGTATCTTTAAAAGATATATACAAATGTAAAGCAACCACGAAGAAAAGTTTTACTTCAAAAAAAATGAACAACTCGGTATGAAAGAACAAAGAATCCAAAAGACAGTTAACAAATACTTTTTCGAGTATATAAGTACCTGAGAAAAAGGATTGATAGTAAAGATTGCTTTGTTAAGCTTTATAGCTCTGAAAATTGAAATGGGTTAAGGATGAATTCTACCCTTTTCGAAGGAGGAGGAGGTAATCATAATTTTGATAAATTAATATGAAAATGCATATATACATACAGAATAGATACAGGGGTGATGTCTGCAATGTGTGCGTCGACATGAGGATGATTTGCTCAATGGAAATCAGAGTGTGTGTGGGTGGGGGCCACGTGGGTATTGTGTGTAATGTGATGAGATGAAAATATCATGGGGGTGGTTGTGTCAGACGCGCGCGCGTGGAGAGAAGTGGGAGAGTA